ACCTGCATTATCAACTCCTGCCTCATGTCCATCAATTCATCATCATCATTTCATTTGCATGCCACCTTTCCACCAAAAGAATCATACTCAAAGCAGCTTGCAGAAAAGAAAAATGAAATGAAAAAGTCTCAAAATCAACCATTGTATAAGAACAATGAAAGAACCAGGGCTTTTTCTTCAGCCGGAAAAAACTGGAACTCATTTCTGTCACCTCTCAGGTGGGCACCATTGCCATTCTAAGAGAACAAGAGAGGTGTTTATGGTGAGTTCCAGCACCTCTTTTTGTAGAAAAATAGCACTGGTGAGAACCACGGTAATAACATAATAACCAGCAACACAATAGAGGAAAGTGACAAATGGGAAAGTGCCAAGTGCCCCCTCCCCCGCTCCTTGGGTCAGTTACTGGACTTTAGAGTAGGGCAAGAGGAAGGAAGGTGCAGTGACACTCATAGGGTTTTGGCAATCCTGAAAGATAAGCCTATCAATGGTTGCCAACCACATTGGCTATGTTCTTCCCAGTGCTATTTTTCTAGAAAAAGAGGTGCCAGAACTCACCATGAACACCTCCTTTGTTCTCCTTGAATGGCACTGGCACCCACCTGAGAAGTGCTGAAACTGAGTACCTGTGAATTCCCCCTGAAAAAAAGCCCCTCCTCTGTCATTGAAGGCAGTATGCCTTTGAACATTTGCTGGGAACCACAGGGGGGATGCACTCAGATCCTACTCGTGGACTTCCTGTAGGTATATTATTGACTGAGTCAGCCCCCTCCCAGTTGAAAAATAGCTTGGCTTATTCCAAGCCAAACTCTAACCCAAACTGAACACTGTCAAATTCCACTGTGATGGAGTTTGGAGGTGCACATACGCTTGGGAGCCAGGCAGGAACACAGACAAAATTTATTCTCCCACTTGTATTAAAATCCAAGCCAGAGAAGAACTTTCAGGCCAATAATGCTCAACCTCACATTTGGGGTGAGCACTGCAAGCTACTGAGATTCAAATTTCGGAGCCAGCAAATATTCATATCCAGAAACGTCCATAGTTTTTAACATGGTATTTTGTAGCTTTTCACTTTCTTGCCTTGAAACAGTTTCAATGTCGTAGGGTATGGCTCATGAAATCATGACCATTGCGGTAGCTCCACTATAATCAAAGGAACTTGGTTACTGAGTGTGGCCTGGGAATTGCCTCCTCACTTTTAAAATATTTTCTGATGATGGAATTCTAATGATGTGCTCTCTGCTGTGCATTTGCAGTGGCTCAATACCTGGGACACTATGCTGCATACTTTTCATGCACTAAGTGATGAAGCTTTATCATACAACCAAACATTCAGTACTTCTTTCTTTAATAGCTGTTGTCACAACCTTTCAGCTGCTGAGCTGTGAATTACATTTTTATCCTTTTAGGTATGCTGCTTGTAACCCCAGAATAGCTGCAGCACATTTTGTTCCAGTTGACAGCCAGATGAACAACGACTCACAGGAACAGCACACACAAATAGGGAACTTGGTGCAGGAAATAGAGATTGTTTTAAAAAAATCCCCCTTCCTTATTTGCTACCGGGTGGGTTTTCAGTGGAGCTTTGCAATTGCTTCCTACTGTGATGTCACAGAGTTAAAAGCACCACGTGTCTTCTTACCCATTCTTATTATTGGCCATGAGCTATGAATGGGATCCAGCTAGTCCAATGATCCTGTTTTGTTGGAGAAAACAAGCGTAAGACAGGGATGGTGAAATATATACTCAGAGTTGACTGTGAATTTCATGCTCTTTATTCAGCTTGTAGTAGCAATGAATGAAACTTCCCCCAAAATGTCTAGCTATATATACATTATTTACACAATGGGCCCCGCATGATTGGCTAATTCAGGGCTGCTCCTGTAGACCAATCAGATTACGGATTCACCTCCTCCAGAAGCCTGATTGGCTGCTTCTGCAGGCCAATCAGGTTGCTGATTCACTTCCACCTGGAGCTGGATTGGGTGGCTCCTGCGGACCAATCAGACTGCTGCATTCTGGATCCTATTGTTCTAGGATTCAGCCCAGTACATAACAGATGGAGAGCCTTTGGACATAGCCAATCGTTAGGGATGATGGTGATGAGAGCTGTTGTCCAGAAACATCTGGAGGACCACAGCTTCCCCACTGCTGATGCAAGGTCAGAAGTAAGATCCTAAAACTTGCTGAAAAGTTAAAGGTTCATGGCTTCACAATCCCCTCTTTCCTTTGGAGTGAGAATATTAAGCAACTAAAAATATGTGTGTGCATTTATTTGTGTGCATTTATGTGTGTCTCTCTCAGGTAGATATAATAAACCATCCACCCAGAAGTGCAGCAGCTGCCTAACCCCCTGGGGGCTGTTTCAGATGTGGTGCTGAGCAAAATGAACAGGACATTTCTGCACTGTCTGAAGATGAATTTTCATAACCCTCTCCGTAGGGACATAGACAAGCAAATTCTCTCAGATATATAAGGGAAAGGTTTAGGGGACATATAGGACAAGACAACTATACTTCCTGTGCTTCCCCTCACTGGCGCACAAAGTCAAAACAGCTCAAGGTCTTTCAGGCAATGCAGGCCATGAACATGATTGACCAAGCAAGAGATTTGTCAACAGACCCTTGACTGTCTCTCAAGTTGGCATAACAAAGCAGATAAAAAATTATCCACCCAGCAGCCTGATGGGTGGATCATTGGTAAAGTGCCTTGTTATGCTTTGAAAGCTTTCCCAGCAGGCATAACAGATCTGACTATCACTCATCCTCCCACCAGGCTAGCAGCCTCTTGAAGAGCATCAAGGATTTCCTCCCATTGAGAACTGCATCTTCAGAGGAGGGATAATTGTCAGACCTACAGAAGGGCAGCAAATGGTTAAATTCATTCTCTTGGTCTGATGTTATCTCAATCATTATCACCTCCACCCCCAGCTCATAAATTTTCCTGTTGCATGTAAAGGTGTATTTAATGCCATAGACAGATGGCTGTAATTTTCTTTTGTCTATACATTTGAGAGGATGAACTCCCAGTATCTTGACCCAGAAAATGAGAGGAATTATCTGGACATTTGCTGGCTATCTTATTTCAAGGACTGCCAATGTCTGAAGCAGAAAATTCTGGCACCTCAGAGATCAAGATGGGGTGTTCTCTGAGTCAGGGGAAAGAGCCCAGCAGATCAATTGGTGAAAAGTCACTTTTGGGGGTTTTTTTGCCAGTCTACAGGTGGAGCTCAATGGTTTTGGTGGGTTCAGATACAGAACCCAATGCAGAAGTTATCCATTTACCTATGGTGGAATATTAAACCATAGCTGGGAGGCAGGAGTTATGCCTTGATCTTCTGGCAACTGGCTCAAATGCAACAATTTAAGAACCCTACCCCTCTCATTCATGTAACAACAAAAAACAGGCTACTGATTTGGAGGTCTTTAGGTCCTAACTCAGAGATGTGGCCTTCCAGAAAGTAGTAGACTACAACTCTCATCTTCCCTGACCATTGACCATGGTGGCAGGGACTGATGAGAGTCCAACAATATCTGAACGACCTCAGGTTCCTCACCCCTGCCCCACCTCATGCCTAATACTACTGGACTACTGAGTTGTATACTCCCTGCCATCCTCTCCACTTCACAGGATCACACAGAGGAGGGAAGGCATGGCAAAAGGAAGTACTATGTCCAGTTGTAGAGACTTCAAGACCACATCATGGTTTCAGGTTCTTTAGCTGCATTCTTATCAATGCATTTGCCTACATTGGTCATGTAGAAAGCAGGGGGAGATACAAATGAGCTGAAGGAGTTGAAAATTGCCACAAGCTATGAATCCTACAGATCTGGAATTAATTTTCAAAAATTTCCAGGTGAAACCTGAAATGATGAGTGAAACACAAGGTACAACACACCCACAAAATAAAAGTTAATAAAATGGAAGAGATCTGCTGATCCCTTCTTCAAACCCCTGTGAACATCACTTAGCCTGCATTCCCCTTTCTAGCTTGCTTATTGAATATACCATCACAAATACTCTGATTTAGTCTTTTAATCTCACTGCCATCATTCCTCCTCCTCCCTTTCCCCTTCCCCCCTATGCCCTGTTTGCCCTTGCTGACTGAGGAATTTTATTACATGTGGAAAAACAATAATTATTTCTCCTAAGACCGATATTATGCTCAGCAGTGGGCCTGTTTTCCTTGGTGCAATTCAATCTCGATGTGTAACCAATTTACCAAAATATAATTATCCGAGTTATATCATCTAAAGGCAAGAAAGAAAACAGCTGCGTCTAAAAGGTTTGAACATGATAGTTAAATGTGAGACATGGTTTAAGCAGCCATAAATTATATCCCTAAACATGAACTGCACCACAACCATTCCTAGACAAAAGCCTTTCTAGCTGGTTCAACATTTCGGGAATATGAAGCAATTATTTCAGGCTTGTATATCTTGAAAACTAGTGTGATATAGTTGAGGATTTAAGAAGACATGGTTTTCCATTCCACTCTGTGTTTGTCCCACACAACACTGTTTCCATTCTATTGCAAGTTGTCTTCCACCCAAAAATATGTAATTCATCTCGCTGTTGAATTGTGCTGAAACTGAAAAACAACAATAACAATAAGTACCATTTGCATTCACTGGATTTATTTATGCTCTATATATGGGGCAAATAAGCAAACACCAGCAATTCCCCCAACATTCTTGGGTGTAGTGTATGGAATATTGAACATCTTTCATCCCATCCTCCCAGAGGATCATAAGGTTCCGTTTGCAAGGTGTGGGGCAACTATTGTGCTTCTTAGCTGTTCCAAGTAGCTAGGAGCTGTACAGGGTAGGGGACTGTATAAAAGAAGTTCCTGGAGCAGCTCATAAACTCGGGGGGGGGGGGAATTAGGTGTTGTTTTTAATTGTTTTCCGCACTGAAGTTCAAATTCCATAGCAGAACAATGTTCCAATCCACACATTGCTCCAGGAGACGTGAATAGGGAGGGTTCAGTTCAGAACTCAACCCCAACTGATAGCTCAGTTGGCAGAGAGTGAGACTCTTAATCTCAGGGTTGTGGGTCTGAGCCCCACACTGGGTAAAATGATTCCAGCATTGCAACTATATGGTTCTATGATGCTAAGTGCATGGATCTTTATTTCTTTTTAAGCGAAAAAAGATTAAGGTTATGTTGTATACTTGAACAAAAATAAACGAAAATTAAAATAAATTTTGTTGCAGTTTTCCCGCTCCTTCATCTCCCCAAAACGGCAGAAATTTGCTCCCTAGTTTTGTAGGCGAGAAAACCGGGGAGAAATTTTCAGCCCACCTTTCTTTTCAAGCACTGAGGAGTGAGGAAGAGAGCAGAAACAAGAGATACCCAATATAGTTCCAGTCTTGGTCAAAATGTCAACAGCCAGAAGCATGGTTAGGGCAGCTGACAACTGAAATAAGCATGTAAAGCTAATATCTCTGCTTCACTGGGGAGGCCTAGTATATTAATGAAAGCCTCACACATTCAATATCAGACAAACGTATTCTGACAGGGGACATGTAAATAATATATAAAGGATTGCATCTAATCTCCTCTTCCAAATTAATTTGCACTCCAGTTAAAGAGATCAATTGCTGGGAGAGGACGGGGAGGTAGATTGCCAGCATTACAACTGTTTCTCTGAGCAAAATGAAAACTTGGGTTCTTTTGCTTGCTCTCATTTCATTCTTGACTTTCATTTGGATTCCTATCAACGGCCCTGTCCGCCGGTGCCCCATTACACATTGTTCCTCCTGGGTGAAGAATTCATTCTGGCTAAAGCTCTGATAGCACCAGCCAGTTCTCTGCTCAGGGTTATTAGTCACTTTCTGAGATCATTCCTTGGGGTGGTGGTAAGGCTTAATAGCATTTCTGGGCTTCCAAACAAGAAGTCAAATATCCAGCAAAGTAGAGATTTCACAAATTGCATTTTCCCGTCCCCATAATCTTGTGAAGTAACTGGGTCCTGGAAGCATTTCTAACCTGGAGGTGGAACGGCGCTTCCTTCTCCAGTGAAATTCATGTGACTCTATGCTTTGACTGCCAGCAAAGAAAGTTCTGACATATGAGTCTGTAGGCTGCTTTTTAAAATAGCTTTCCTTCACCAAATACACTTTGATAGTTTAATAAGCATCTAAGCTACCCTAAGGTGGATATTTCTCTCATATTTGGAGTCTATGATAAACCAGGGACATGTTGCAGAACAGGGGGTGGGAAACCTCAGGACTAGAGTCTAAATGTGACCCTCCAGACCTTTCAATTTGACCCTCAGGACTAGGGATGGAGACAAAGTTAGCAAAAACGGAACTCAAAAGGGAATCTCACTAATATTGCAGGTTGGCAAATCAGACCGATTTCCCCCTCTGCAGGGAGGATCCCATGAACAGCCAGTGAACCTTAAGACCTTTAACCCTTAGCTTATCTGTGCGTAGGGAAGAGTAATATTGTCCCAGAGAGATAGGGGGAGGCCCAGAAGCCTGCAAGTAGTTCAGGAGGAACCCCTGTCATGACCGCCACATCAGTGGTGGATGTAGACAGGAGAAGGCCTGCAGAAAAAAGTCCTCCTCTCTTCACGGGCAATCTAGTTCCTCACCATTGTGTCAACTTTCAGAGGACACTCTTCTGCCTCCACAGCACTGGTGGGGGCAGAGAGTGTGGAGGTCTACTGTTGTTGCTGTTTTGAACTGGAATGAATTAGAGTAAACCAGGGCCATCCAAAGAATGTTGGAAGATTCATGACAGACCCAGCACATAGTTAATCTATGAAGCTTGCTCCCCACAGAAGGCAGGGATGGCCCCAAACTGTGATGGCTTCAAAAGAAGATTAGACAATTCTTGTCAGGTGTGTGTGCAGGAGCCAGGCCCTGTGACCAATAGGACTCTGCAGGACTGGGGCCTTCCTAAGTTTGTTCTGAAGAGGCAAGGCGAGGCCTCACAGGTGAGGCTGATTGGTAACTCACAGCACCTGGTGGCAAGAGCAGGGAAGGGTTATAAGGTCAGCATTTCCCTTTGACTTTTTGCCACAGCAACACGCTTCCTGACTTGCTGTGTTTGGCTTCTTGCTTCCTGATCCTTGAACCTTGGCTTCTTGACTCCCTGCTTCTTGATCCTTGGACCCCTGACTTCATGACTTCTTGCTTCCTGACCCTCAGATCCTTGGCTTCCTGAATCCTGGCTTCTGGACCCCCATTCCTGCTCCCACCCCACCATCTTGCCCCCGGTCCTGACGTCCCCTGCTGGGACTTCGATTGCCCATGAACCGGACCGTGACAATTCATGGAGGCTATGACTCCTGGTATCCATGTTCTACCTCAATTGTTAGAGGCCACATGCTTCTAAATACCCGTTGATGGGAACCACAGGAGGAAAGAGTTCTCTTGTGCTAGAATCCTGCTTGAGGGCTTCCCTTAGACATCCAATAGGCCACCAACAGGATGTTAGATTAGATGGACCTCTGGCCTGATCCAGCAGGCTCCTCTTGCATTCTTATGGGTGAACAAGAACTGTGTAAAGAAAAAATTTGGTGCCATTCTCACAACTATTGCACTTGCCTTACTTCTGAGGTGGTCAAGGGGTGTTCGTGTTTCCCCCCCTTCATTCTGGAAATCATCTCACAAATGGTCTGTCCTCTTGCAGGCTTGCCCAGCTACCCATTTTTTTCAATTAAAGACATCACGAGGCAGTGAAGACTCTTGCAGACCAAAGAGCAGCTGTGGAGGCTGCAGAGAGATGGATAAATGTTTCTGGAAATATAAATACACACCACACATGAGCCTTGAATGATATGGACACCTCAGAATGATATGGTGAGTACCCACCCACCAAAATCATAGTCATAGAGTTGGAAGGGACACTGAGAGTCATCTAGTCCAACCCCCTGAAGTGTAGGAATTCTACAGGCATGTTAAGATATTGATGTTCCGTTCCACCTAAACAGATGTGTGGAGCTGTTGTATGTCACATGTGTGTTTACATTCCAGCACAGCTTGCTGGGAGCTTCCATTTGTGTATAGCTTTTGCCTTATGCTTCTTGCTTGGACATGAAGGAGAGCAGACATGTTTTCTTTGTCCTGATCTATGCTGAATAAACTGCTTGTAAATATGCTTTACATATGCCTCTGTCTGCCCTTCCATCGCGAAGAGTTTGTTTTCTCTGCTGGCTTGCGTGCTCAGCTTCTGAAAGGCTTCTGAAGCTCTGAATCGCAGATTGATGCAGAACCGAGGACTGGAGTTCAACCAGCAACCGGCTGGTGGGCTGGAGTCAGCTAGGGGCCTGCCAATTGCCCCCGTTCCCTTGGACGCATCGCAACAAGGCATACCTGGGTGGGCTCAAACCACCAACCTTCTGGTTAACAGCCAGGCACACTGCATGCCCTGAGAATGTGGCAAAGAAGAAGAAGAAGAAGAAGAAGAAGAAGAAGAAGAGGAGTTTGGATTTGATATCCCGCCTTTCACTCCCTTTAAGGAGTCTCAAAGCGGCTAACATTCTCCTTTCCCTTCCTCCCCCACAACAAACACTCTGTGAGGTGAGTGGGGCTGAGAGACTTCAAAGAAGTGTGACTGGCCCAAGGTCACCCAGCAGCTGCATGTGGAGGAGCAGAGACTCAAACCCGGTTCCCCAGATTACGAGACTACCGCTCTTAACCACTACACCACAAAGAAATGGAAGCCCTTTTGCAATCTCCTTCTGAGTGCTCTATCTCCTACCTCCATTCCTTTCTCAGTTATACTATTTTGCGTTCTTTCCTGAGACAGCTTAGAATCACTTTCCCTGGACTGCCAAGTAGTCTCCCTTCCAGGCACTTATCAGGTCTAAAACCGTTTGCCTTCAATAATGCTACAGCTTCAATGCACTCCCATTTGCCAATCTAATTCCTGGGAGCAAATATGCCTAAGGCATGTTCGGGCTGCATATCTCCACAACCTACATTTCAAACTCCCCCTGCCCTCTATTTAAATGTATCCCAAGCAAATCAAATAGGGGGTCCTCATATGATCTTTAAATACCCTTGAGAGGAATTGGACAGAATTTTTTTTTTTTGGTAGAGAAAAGAAGGGAGAGAGGGAGTTACTTTATATATTTTTATATACCACTCAGCTAAGTGTTCTTTTTCTTTTCTTTCCCTAATACGCAAGACCTATTCCCATCTCTGCAGCTGTTCGTCTAATGGGATGATTTCCTGTTTGAAATACAGAGTAATTTAAAGCGACTAACAGTTGTTCAGGGAACCTCCCTCTCTAGGATGTAACATCCTATGATATCTTTGAATCTTTTCGAACTGATTGCAGCTTCCTCCATCACCAGGTTCTCTGACTTCCCTTTAAGTGCACCAATTCAGAGAACTTGATTATTCAAATGTAAGAAATTAAGAATAAAAATCAAGCCCTATTTTTTTTAAAAAAAGGAAAGAAAAGAAAATGGCTTCATCTGATGTTACATATAAGAAGCAGTTATTTACTGTATTGGATTCTGCATCACCCAAAGGGCTACAGAATCTCACTCTATTTCTAGGCTGAAATCTGCTGAACTTTCAAGGGGATGATTTGCACAAAACCCCTTGTTGCGTAAAGTTAATAGCTTCAGAATTCATTGAATAGAAACAGAGTTGTGTTAGTTTTGGTTTTTTTGGTGTGCTTTTTAAAAGAACCATGCAATGTTTTGAGCCAAAGCTAATGAATGATATAAATCATTCTGGGTAGCATCCAATGGAGTTATACCTCAGAGTACCAGGGGTCAGAAACTTTTTCAGCCGTGGGCCAGTCCATTGTCCCTCTGACCTTATGTGAGGCCGAACTATATTTTTGGGGAAAAAGAATGAATTCCTATGCCCCACAAATAACCCAGAGATGCATTTTAAATATTTCTACTCATGTAAAAACATGCTGATTTCCGGACCGTCCAAGGGCCGGATTGAGAAGGCGATTGGGCCACATCTGGCCCCCGGGCCTTAGGCTGCCTACCCCTGGAGTAGACCCATAGAGATCAATGGACCTAATTTAGTTATGCCCACCAATTTCAGTGGGCCTGCTCTGAGTAAGCCTAGCACTGGATTCAAACCTCAGTGTCG